CTAACTATTTCGAACCCAAGCCATTCGAGGGTCTTGCTCCAATAACTGTTATTGGTATTGAACTGTGGACGATGAGTCAAAATATCATTTTTGGTTGGTGAAAATTGCCTGTTTTAAGTTATCATTTGTTTGTTTTATTTCTGGTCAAGGTCTCTATGCAAAAATGTTCAGATAATATTCTCGTATGCGAATCGGAAAGTTTGGCTGCCGAGGTTGCAAAACAGACATATACAGTTCGACGCGCTGAAGATCAGCGTTTAGCAACTAGTCAAGGCAAAGGGGCAGGAATACTGCAGGGTATCATAGATGCAGCAAATGTAAGTTAGATTCTTCCACCTTTTGTTTTTTTCCTACTCACTTCTTGAAATTCATTTTTTCTACTAAGTACTCAGTGTGCATAACTGCATTTTTCTAAAACGTTTTCTGTATGAGGATAATTGGGCCAATACGCCGTAAACAGGTTTTTATGTGCAAATTTGAAGCATACAAACATTAACATGAAAAAATAGGGTTTGCTGAAATGCTATATGACAACATCAATGTGTTTTACTTAATGTGAATCAGTAATCGAATAATGCACGCTCATAGAATAATAGGAAGCATCGTTTTGAGACTGCAAATCTCGCAAAATTCGTGACCGAGAAAGCTTGCTTAGATCAATTTTCTTTGTGTCGTTGTAGATTATATGAGGCCATTTCGCTGTCGCACAGAATTATTCAGTTTTTTAGTCTAACACTAGAAAATGAATCAGTCAGGTAGAAAGCACTTTTGAATTAGTATCTAGCGCTTGATTATTATCTGCAAACATTGCTTTTGTTTTGAACTTTGGAGGAGTCTTGGTTTTCCCCTTTGAAATCACCGTAAAGGTCATTTTGGTCAATCGCACGCTCGCTTCCTCTTTTTTTCTCCAAAACTTTGGGGTTAAACCCTCTAGCGGTTACTATAGAGCATCATTTGCTGCATGAAAAACAATCAGCTGCGATCTACGAGATGTCTATCAACCGTGGATCAGATTGCTGAGAACAGATATTTCAGCTAGTTTATGCAAAATAAATTTTTTTTCATGGAGGTTTCTGTCTGCCTGTATTTTAGGAAAACTCAGATTGTTATCGAAGGTGAAATTTAAGCTTTGATTTTGATGGCCACGCAGCCTTGTGCTCATTTCCCATCTGCTGGAATACATGAATATTTTCTGACTTATAGGAGCGCCCATGGTTGTGGGTTGTTTATGTGTTGTGCGTGCTGATCCCCATTATACTTATCGGTGTATGCTGCTTTGGTCGCAAATCGAACGCTGATATTGCTGCCGCTCAGAGAAAGAAGACAGACGCCCCCGAAGCTGATGATGAAGTGAGATGAGCTCTTCTACAACTTTTCATCACCATTTGAAAGTTTTCTAGGTTCCAAATCTTGTCGACGACGAAGAAGATGAGAAGGAAGGAGAGGAGGAGGTCGAAGAGGTGATTTACTTCTTTAATCTTGTATTTACTATAGTGATGATTCTATTTGGCTTTAAGAATTATTCAGTTTTTTGAGGCGGTTGAAGCAGA